AGCCCAAAACTGAGCAAAGTGGGGGTCTGGGGATTGGAGGTACGATGAGAAAGGGGTGAGAGACGGGGGAAAAGGGGGGTGAGAGAGCAGAAAGAGGGGTGCCATGGGGGTCCCTCGGTGTCCCCCATCACTGGAGCCCTGCAGCGGTTCTCTGGGGTTCTGGGGGCAGGGTCGGATCCGCACTGGGGGATCCCCAACCCTCCTGTCCATCCCCAGAGGGCTGATGGGGGGTTCCCCCTCAGCCAAGAGCTGCGGGGGCCGTGGGGCAGAGTGGAGTGGGAAAGGGGGGTCCGGGGTGGCCCCCTGAGTTCCCGACCTGCTGTGGGGGGCTGGGGGATGATGAAGGGGGATGGGGCACCCCCGACCCGTGTCCTGCACACACAGGGGTGTTCCAGGAGTTGGTAAAGCACGAGTGTTATTTCATCAGCGGCACCGAGTGGGTGAGGTTCGTGGAGAGGTACATCTACAACCGGCAGCAGCTCGCCCACTTCGACAGCGATGTGGGGGTCTATGTGGGGGACACCCCGTATGGGGAGTTCCAGGCCAAGCACTGGAACAGCCAACAGGACGTGCTGGAGCTCAAACGGGCTGAGGTGGACAGGTTCTGCAGGAAAAGCTACGAGGTGTCCACCCCGTTTTTGGTGAACCGCAGAGGTGAGCGCGGGGCAGAGAGAGATCCCTCGGGAATTCCCCTGCCCCGGGAAGGACCCTGGAACCCCTCAAACCCTCCCTGGGAATCACCGCTGACCCCTCAGCTCCCCCGTGCCCATCCCCGTGGCCTTTTGCCCCCTCCCAGTGCCCCCGAATCCATCCCAATCTCTTCCTATGCCCCCGAAGTCCATCCCAGTCTATCCCAGTGCCCCCTCACATCTCCACCCTACTGGTGCTACCCAGTTCCCACCCTTCAGCCAATCAGAGAGTGCTCCTTCGTTGACTCATCAGTTGCCGGGCAGATCTGCAGGGCAGAATTCCCTCTCCAGGACTCAGCCTCCCAGTCCCGCTCGGTTCCTTCCCAGTCCCTCCCAGTCCTTCTAGTCAATCCCAGTCCTTCACAGACCCTCTCACTCCACTCCCAGACCCTCTCACTACATTCCCTGTGGTTCTCAGTTCACTCCCACATCTACCAACTCTCTCCCCAGTGCCCTCCCAGCCCATCCCCTTCTGCCCCAGTCTATTCCCAGTCCCCCCCAATGCCACCCAAACCCCTACCAATGTCATACAAGACCTCCCCGTCCTCTCCCAGTGCCCCCCAGCTCAGCCCAGTGTCTCCCCCGTCTCTCCCAGTGTCCCCCA